ACGCCATTGGATTTGGTTTGCTAGTATTTTGTTGAGGATTTTTCCATCACATGCATAAAAGATATTGGACTGTAATTTTCTTTTCTTGTGATATCTTGATACAGTGTAAGCATCAGGCTGGTCTCTTGGGGGAGTTAGGAAGTGTTTCCTTCTCTTCTATTTTGGAAGAGCTTGAGAAGGTTGGTGTTGTTCTTCTTCATATGTGTGGTAGAGTTAGCCAAAGAAGACATTGGTCTTGGACTGTAATAGGATTCTCCAGAGAAACAGAGACAATAGAGTCTGTGTGTGTGTGTGTGTGTGTGTGTGTGTGTGTGTGTGTGTGTGTAGAAAGAGGGAGACAGATTTAGCTTTAAAAATTTGTTCATATAAAAATGAAATGAAATGAAATAAAAATTTGCTTACATGACTATGGAGACTGCCAAGTCCAAAGGCTGCAAGTTAGATCCTCAGGCTGGAGGTCCAGAGAAGCCTAAAGGCAGTCTGTTGGCAAAATTCCTTCTTCTTCTGGGGAGGTCAGTGTTTTTCTATTAAGGCCTTCAACTGAACGGATGAGGTCACAACAGTGAGGGTATGAAATGAATAAAGGAAAATCTCATTTCAAAATATAGTCAGGGGACACCTGGGTGTTTCAGTTGGTTAAGTATCTGAGTTCAGCTCAGGTTATGATCCCATGGTTTGTGAGTTCAAGCCCTACATGGGCCTCCTTGGAATTCTGTCTCCCTCTCTCTCTGTCCGTCCTCTGCTCTCTCCCCCTCCCTTCTTCCCCATCCCCCTCTCCCTTTCTCTCTGTTCTCTCCCTTCTCCCCTCCTTCTCTTCCCCCCTCAAAAATAAACAAACTGTAAAAAAAAAACCCACAAAATATAGTCAGGAAGTCCTGAAGGGGTATACTCACAGTACAACTCCTCAAAGCTTACTTTACATACCCCAGCAGGAAGAAAGGTTTTCTCCTTGCTCAGCAACAACTCAGCCAATGAGAAGTCACCACAGCCCTGAATTTTTGCTCTGCTCCAATGGATGTTCATTCCAAACAGCCCCTCCCAACTTCCTTCTTTCCTCTACAAGAACTTTGTTGTCTGAACTTACCCATGTTTTTCCATGGTTTACATGCCCTGAACTACAATTCCTATTTCCAAATAAGCTCATTTTCCCGTAAACTAAAGGACTATTTTTAATATAGCAGACAAAGGTAATTTACTCAAAAGTCTCCTGATTTAAAGGTTACTCTCATCTAAAAATACCTTCATAGAGGGTCACCTGGGTAGCTCAGTCAGTTAAATGTCTGTCTTTGGCTCAGGTCATGATCTCATGGCTCGTGGGTTTGAGCCCCGAGTTGGCTTCTCTGCTGTCAGTATGGAGCCCACTTTGAATCCTCAGTCTCCTCTCCCTGCCCCTCCCAAGCTCTCTCTCTCTCAAAAACAAATAAACTTAAACAAATACATTCGTAGAAACATCTAGAATAATTTTTGACTAAATACCGTGGTAACTTGGCCTAGCCAAGTTGACACATTAACTATCGTGGGGAGTTTTCATGGTTGGGAATTTTTTAATTACAATCTTCTTGCTTGTTATGACTCTGCTGAGATTTTCTTTCCATTTCTTCTTGCATAAGCTTGAGTAATTTGTATGTTTCTAGGAATTTGTCCATTTCACAGTGGTTATCAAATCTGTTGGCACACGATGTTCACAGTATTTTCTATTTTTATAAGGTTCATAGTAGTATCTCCATTTTCATTTCTGATTTTAGTTACTTGTATCTTCTTTTTATCTTTGTCTATTTTTCTTCCCCATAGCTAAAGATCTATTTTGGGGTTTTTGTTTGTTTTTCAAAGAACCAACTTTTGGTTTGATTTTCTCTTCTCTATATTATTTCTCTATGCTCAAAATTTATTTGCTCCCTTCTTCTAGCTTTGGCTTTAATTCACTTTTAATTCCTAAAGATATAAAAACAGGTTATTGATTTAAGATATAATGGGGGCGCCTGGGTGGCTTAGTCAGTTAAGCGTCCGACTTTCGCTTAGGTCATGATCTCCCGGTTCGTGGGTTCGAGCCCCGCGTCGGGCTCTGTGCTGATTGCCAGCTCAGAGCCTGGAGCCGATTTCAGAGTCTGTGACTCCCTCTCTCTCTGACCCTCCCCTGCTCACGCTGTCTTTCTCTCTCTCCTAGAAATAAATAAAAAATTAAAAAAAAAAAAGATATAATGTAGACACTTGCTGTAAATTTCCCTCCAAGAATGGCCTTTGCTTCATCCCATAAATGTTGTCTCCAGGTGTTCATTCATCTGTAAGTATTTTCTAATTTCCCTTCTTTGTGATTTCTCCATGGACTCTTAGGTTGTTCCAAAGTGTGTCAATTTCCACATGTGTGTATCAGTTTTCCTTCTGTTATTTATTACTACCTTCATTCCACTGTAGTTGGAGAAGATACCTTGTAGGATTTCAACCTTTTAAAATGTACTGACACTAGGGGCATCTGGGTGGCTCAGTTCATTAAACATCTGACTTCGGTTTAGGTCATGATCTCACAGTTCCTGAGTTTGAGCCCTGTGTCAGGCTCTGTGCTGACAGCTCAGAGCCAGAAGCCTACTTTGGATTCTGTGTCATCCTCTCTCTCTGCCCCTCCTCAGCTTGCGCTCTCTCTCTTTCTCTCTCTCAAAGATAAACATTAAATTTTTTAAATTTAATTTATTGTTTAAATAGTTTATTGTCAAGTTGGCTTCCATATAACACCCAGTGCTCATCCCCTCAAGTGCCCTCCTCCATGCCCATCACCCCCCTTCCCCTCCCCCACACCCATCAGTCCTCAGTTTGTCTAAACACACACTCACTACCAAAATTCACACGGGAAGAGATAGAAAATCTGAACAGACCCATAACTAGTGAAGAAATCAAATCATTTATCAAAAATCTCCCAACAAATAAGAGCCCTGGGCCAGATGGCTTCCCTGGGGAATTCTACCAGACATTTAAAACAGAATTAATACCCATTCTTCTCAAGCTATTACAAAAAATAGAAATCGAAGGAAAACTTCCAGACTCATTTTATGAAGCCAGCATCACTTTGATTCCCAAGCCAGATAGAGATCCAGAGAACTACAGGCCAATATCCCTGATGAATACAGATGCAAAAATCCTCAACAAGATACTTGCAAATTGAATTCAACAACACATAAAATGGATTATCCACCAAGATCAAGTGGGATTCATTCCTGGGTTACAGGGCTGGTTCAATATTCGCAAATAAATCAATGTGATACATCACATCAACAATAAAAAAAGATAAAAACCATATGATCCTGTCGATAGATGCAGAAAGAGCATTTGACAAAATACAGCATCTCTTCTTAATAAAGACTCTCGAGAAAGTCGTGATAGAAGGAACGTACTTAAACATAAAAGCCATCTATGAGAAGCCCTCAGCTAACATCATCCTCAATGGAGAAAAACTGAGAGCTTTCCACATTAAATTTTTTTAAATAAAATTTTCTGAGACTTGTTTTGTGGCCTAACATATGATCTATCCTGGAGAATGTTCTATGTGCATTTGAGAAGAAGATCTTCTACTGTTGTTGGGCACAGACTTCTATTTATCTTAGGTCTAGCTGTTTCCCAGTTTTGGTCTTCTATTTTCTTATTGATTTCTGTCTAGATGTTCTATCCATTAAAGAGACATGGAAGGCTCTAGCTATTAACATAGAACTATTACTCCCTCCGATTCGTCAACTTATACACACTCTCAGCCTGGGATGACACTGGTCTTAGCTGGCCTCTCTTCCTCTCTTTCCCCGAGCATAAAGAGCTGATAAAATAAGTGCCAGTATGCCAAGGGCATATTCCCAGGGTCATAATATGATCTAGATGAACACATTCAAGTTTGGACTCCTTTGAAAGGACAGTCCAGGAAGGCAATGTTTGATGCTTGTTCTGATCCCACCTCTGGGCCCTCCTTCACAGCACTGGGGGCCCACTGCAGCTGAGACAGTGGGACTGGGCAATTTTGAGGATTCATAAACATCTCCACAGAACAATAAAGCATTTGGAGTATGTGTTTGGGAAGCCAGGTGGTATGGGAGGGGGACTGAGGGTAGGAGAGCTGGGTGTCTGCACAACAGGATTTCTTCCTTTTTGATGTTCCAGGAGGGGTAAGAGCCCAATCCCTGACGTCTAGGCCCCTACCTTAACCCCACTCCACTCTAGCCAGGGACTGGCTGGGAGGGTAGAGCAATTACAATTGCCCAGAACAAAAATCTATGCATCATCGCAAGTCAACCCCTTCCCTTTATAGTCCATGATTGTCAGCAAGTCTTATCGGCTCCACCTTCAAAATACGTCCCAGGCTAGAGCACTTCTCACCTTTCTGGTCCTCCCACTGGTGCCCAAGCCCCGGTCCTCCTCTGTTCCCACCCTGCCCCAGCCTTCTTCCTCATCCTTGAACAATGGCCTCAGAGCCTTCACAGTGGCGTTTCCGTGCCTGGACTGTCTTCCAGATCCACACAGAGATAGTTCCTTCTATGATTCTGCTCAGACGTCTCCTCCCCACAGACGCCTTCCCTCTGCATCCATCTGCAGCACCCTCCCTTGGCCCCGAGCAGCCCCCTCGCTTCATTTTACTTTTAGTTATACTTCAATTAGCATTTTCCCTAATTACGTAAGGTCCAGGAAGACGGGGACCTCATTTCTCTGGCTCGTTGCCACAGCCAATCGGTCACCGTAGTGGTCCAGGAGCATCAGGACCATGCCATTGGCCCAGCCAAAGCCCTCCTGCAGAGAGGCACGGCCAGTGGGCCAGGATCTCCGGGGAAGGGCCCCACATTCTTTTAGGGGGGTGGTGAGATCTGCACCCAGGGGCTCTAGAGCTGCCCAGGGGTAAAAGGACTCCAGGACACATCCTCCCTGTGAACCCACATCCATAGGAGGAAACAAGCTCAGACAGAGGAGGTGGTCATGGCCAGTTGTGGGGACAGCAGAGCCCTGCAGTTCCTGGGGGGTAGGGGCCCACTCACCTGAACTTCATACTCCCCTCCACCACCTGGCTGACCACCGTTGCTGACGTCATACTGGGAACCAAGGGACAAGCTCTAAGGTCAGGCACTAACCCCCGCCCCCCACCCCCGCCCTCTAGGGAGCCCCTCTGGGAGAAGCTGCTCTGGCCTGCAGTGCCCAGGACTGGCCACTGGGTGTCACCGCTGCTCCCCAGGCTTTGCAAAGCCTGGCAGTTCCCCCAGCTCCCCATGGAGAGGAGGCCCAGGAGCAGCTCACCTTCTCATACATGGCTGACTTTCTGGAGTAGACCTCAAAGGTGGTACGGATCCAATTCTGAGCCAGCTGGAAAGCCACTTCCTGGGCCCGAGGTGAAGGAGACTTGGCCAGACCTAGACCCCACCCCCAGGCAGGACCCTGAGCCACCTGAGTGCCCATCCCAGAGGGAGCCTTACTCTCCTCAGGGAGGGAAAGAGGCCTGAGCTTTAAGACCTCCATCCTGAAATCACGTGAAAGGCCAGAGTGCTCTTTACCCAGGGCCTGGGCTTGGAGGGACAAAGGCAGGCTGGCTCATAAGTGTCTGCTGAGTGGGAAGCCATGAGAACAGAAGAGCCAGAGAGAGACCTCACCTCCTCTGTCCACACCTCCCCAGTGCCAGGGGGCTGACCCTCTAGATGCAAGGGGGTCAGGCCCTGGGATGTGCCCTGGCGCTGCCTCCCTACCTGTGATGACCAGGTCCTGCAAGGGGGCCCAGGCATTGGGGAAGTCCCACTGCTGGCCGGTCTTCTGGAGAGAAGTCGGGATCCCGTACCGGTAGGTCAAGATCTGGCTGTCCTAGAAGATTCCAGACATTTCTCGGACTGTGGGTGGGGACTGGATGAGGAGCCAAGGGCCTGGGCCCTCCTCAAGCCAGATGTTCCCCTTCCTGGACTCTCTTCTTACTCACAGCTGCCCCCTGGTGGCTCCAGCGGGACCCGCAGGCTCAGGCAGGGGAGTGGTGGTAGTGGTTGGGAGCAGGGAAGGGAAGTCACAGGCTCAGAGACAGGGAGAGAGCAGGGGGTTCTGCCCCCAGTATACCAGCCCTCCCCTCCCCTCCGGTATTTCAGAGCCTTGTCCACGACTCCAGAGACAGAAAAGCAGCTGCCTCAAAAAGAAGTGTAGCCGAATGGATAAAAGTCCAAAGTCTTCCCATGTTCAGGGTCACAGTCAAACCAGGTAGCCTTCTCATCTCATAGAATGGCCTTCGATACAGCTCAGTGCTATTTCTGCAAAGTTCAGTAATTCATAGCTTTGGAGGCATACTCTTGGACAACTAGGTTTAGGCAGAAGGTGCATACCCTTGTATTCTACTGCAGCTTTCTAGAAAGAAATTGAGGGGGGAGGCAGTAGCAAGGGAAAGTTTACTTCTAACTTCTCATTGCCTCCCTGAAGCCCTCACCAGTCTCCCCCCAGATAAACCTACCCAGACCTGCCTCTTACTCCACTAGTAATTGCTCACTCCCCATCTGGGCTCCCCCTTCCCTGGTCTCCTCCAACCAGCCCTCTGCTCAGGAATATTTGCCGCTGCTAATTGTGGCCTGTGGTTTCCACTATTTGTTAGACACTTTCTCTCCTTTGAGGCTCAGAGACGGCCCTGGTTTGCCCAAGGCTGCACAGCGTCTGTCCTCCCAGCCAGCCCCCAGGCCCCTTCCCCGCCCAGCCCCACGGGAGCAAAGCCCGGCTCTGTGCCACTCCTCCCCTCAAAATAACGGACGGCTGCCCCCTCTCCCACTGAAACCACACTCACCGGGACAGAAGCAGGAAGCCGTGAACAGAGAACGGACCTGACAGAGGCAGGCACGCAGGCCCCACTCTGGTGCCACCGTTGCTCTCCCGAGGCCACGTTCGTGTGCGTCTGCCTCACGGGGAGAGCAGTTTGGGGGCATCTTCCACGCCTGGGTCAGAGGACCGGGCCGTGCGTCTCTGGGCCTGGCTTGGCGGTGGCAACAGAGACGAGGCAGGGGGAGCCAGCGGAGGACGTGGTCCCCGCGGCCGGTGCTGAGAGCAGCCGCTGCTGCGCGAGCCCCTGCCCGCGCCGGGCTGGCTGAGCCAGGACTCCAGAGGCCGGCACGTGGGGCCGAGCAGACCAGCCTCCCGCGGCGGCTCGGGGCTTGAGCTCAGCCCCCAGCCCCTGGCTGACCAGCAGCAGAGCCCGAACTCGTGCCCCGGCGGCCTGGCTCCAAAGCCGCAGCTGCCAGGGCCCCCACCCCCGGCCTCTCCCGGCCGCCACACCTCGGGGGTCCCGGGCTCCCTGTGCCCCCTCTCCCGACCGCAGGTGAAGCCAGAGGTCCTCAGCCACCCCGAGCAGTTCTCGCTGCTCTACTCGGAGCACCCCTTCATCGTGCCTGGAGGGCGCTTTGTCGAGTTCTACTACTGGTGAGTGGCCGGGGCTGCAGGGCAGGAGTCGGGGAGCCCAGGGCCGCTGGCCTGGCCTGTCCCCATGACTGGCCTGGGTGTGCAGGGCAGGGGGCGGCAGAGGGGAGGGGTGCCTGAGCTGTCCCTTTCCCCAGGGACTCCTACTGGGTGATGGAGGGGCTGCTCCTGTCTGAGATGCCCGAGACCGTGAAGGGCATGCTGCAGAACTTCCTGGGCCTGGTGCGAATGTAAGAGGGGGCGGGCTCGCCGCTGGGTGGGCCCTGGCCCCAGCCGCTGGGCAGATGCACCTCAGCAGGCCCCCCCCTCGGCAGCTACGGGCACGTCCCCAACGGGGCCCGCGTGTACTACCTGCAGCGGAGCCAGCCCCCGCTGCTGACTCTCATGATGCACCGCTACGTGGCTCACACCAACGACACGGCCTTCCTGCGGTGGGCACCCCGCCCCCCCGCGGCCCTGCAGGCCCCCCTCCCTGGGACCTCCGGGGGGCGGGCCGAGGGGGCGGGCCCGGGCTGAGGCGGTGCCCGGCTCCACCCCAGGGACAACATGGGAACCCTAGCTTTGGAACTGGACTTCTGGGCTGAGAACAGGACCGTCTCTGTGACCTCGGGGGGGAAGAGCTACTTGCTGAATCACTATTCTGTCCCTTACGGGGGACCCAGGTAAGGAGCTGCCCCGCCAGCCCCTCAGTGTCTTCTTCACTCTGGTGTGAGGGCCAGTGACTTAGCCCCACATGTCGAGGGTGATGCTGAGGGGGTGGGTGCCTGTGTTGTCAGAAAAGCAGTGACAATGGGAACCACAGGGGCGGGGCGGCTCTGGCACACTTCTCTCCCAGCTCCTCCCTACCTGGCAAGGCTGCATTGTGGCTACACAGAGGCTGTAGAGGAAACTTGCCCCAAGGTACTGGCCATGCAGAGCTACATCCCCCTCTCCTGAGCCGTCCCTGGGGAAGGAGAGGCCCCAGGGGACAGAGATGGCAGCCAGGGGCCACCAGGGTTGGGGACGGCTGTGCTGGAGCTCTGTCCTGGCAAGAGGAGAGAGCGAGCTGGCGGAGCGAGGACATGGAGGCCGGGACCAAGAAGACCTCCGTGGGGGCTTTTCTTCTCTGCAGCTCGGCCACCAGCCTGCACTGCAGGGTCACCCCTTTCTCCTCCCAAGGCAAGACCAACCTGCTGGCCCCTCCCCTGACGCCCTTGCTCGAACCACAGCTATCTGTGGATCAAAACACTTCTCTCTCTTTATTTTAACTTCAAATTGCCTGAAAGACGTGCACGGTCGGGCTGGGGCCGCATCAGGAGGGCCGCCTGCATACACAGGAGGGTTGGGGACGACGTCTGGGCACTGGCTCTCAGACATCGCACATCTCTGTATTTCTGCACATGGCAGCAACTTTTGCAGAAAGTGTGAAGAGAGCGCATCTGGGCCAGGCATCAGCCGGTTGCAGCTGCCTGTGGCTGCCTCTGCCCACCCAGGGCAACCTCTTGTTCTCACCTCAACCACTGTGACTTCCTCTCCCCGTGGGAACAGGGCACAGGGTCAGGGGCTCCCGCAGCATCCAGATGACTGGGCACCTGCCTGGCCACAGCCTAGGGTCAGCAAAATTCAGATGTTCCCAGGTGGCCCCAACTCACGGCCCTGTAAGCCACGGCATTAGCAGTGTTTGTGAGTGTCCATGAGAAATGCTTTAAATCAGAACCGGGTCCCAGGAGATCCTGACTGAAGACCTGACTACGCCATTGCAGGCTCTGTGTCCTGGGCCACTTACTCTATCATTCTGGGTCCTTGGGACATACGTTGAAGGCTTTGTTCTCCATGAGGGGTTGCAAACTCCAACTCTAGTAGTACAGATGTGCGGAAATATGTGGGGACAAGGGAACTAACAGTTCAAGGGCATCATCTCGGGGAGTCAGGAAGACTAGGGGAGCACGCACCTGACTGTGTGCAGAAACTCTGCTGAAGGTGGGTGATGGTAGGGAACGTGGGCACCTTATTTGTTAGATCTTCTATTTTTTTAAAAATATTTTTATTTATTTCTAGGAGAGAGAGAGAGACAGCGTGAGCAGGGGAGGGTCAGAGAGAGAGGGAGTCACAGACTGAAGCAGGCTCCAGGCTCTGAGCCGGCAGTCAGCACAGAGCCCGATGCGGGGCTCGAACCCACAAACCGCGAGATCAGGACCTAAGCGAAAGTCGGACGCTTAACCGACTAAGCCACCCAGGCACCCCACTCTCCGTGTCTATTCTCAGGGTAGCAGTGTGACCAGACCTTTTTCAAAGTTCATTTCCCAGGCTCCCCTGCAGTGAGGGGTGGCCAAGGACATAGTTCTGACAAGCGAGAGGTAAGTGGAGGTCACTGGAAGGGGCTCCTTAAAAGGGGAAAGACTCTGCTGGCTTCGTCCTTTGCCCTTCCTGCCTGCCTTGAGCACGGATGAAGGCCACCCTGTGACCACAAGACAATGAACCTGAGGCTGAAAACCACATGCTGCCGAAGACGGCCGAGCAGAAAGTTGGAAACTTGTCGTCAGTGGCGACTTTGAGTCACGACCGCCCTGGGCCCCATTATAGGAGGAAAACAAACCCCTCGGTTGTTTAAGCCACCGGTTTTCAGTTCTGTGTCACATTTGGCTGAATACGTCCAACCATGTTCTAATGTCCCAGCAATATTGTGGGGCTCCCGCCTGCCTGGCCTAATCTCAGGTGTGAGCGGCAGACCGATCCATCTGTCTGTCTGTCTACCCACCTGCATCCTTATATCCACGTAAATCAGGTGCTGCGGAGCAAGTGTGCGGACCGCCTTCCTCACAGCTCCAGGCCCCTGGACCCCTCATCAGTGTGTGCCGACAGTTCCTGGAGTCTCGGGTGGCAGGGAGGCCAGCCTGGCGAGTGACTGCCAGCTGTGCA